GGTACTGGGGTCCTGGCACAGGAGTTAGCATCAGTGGTTGTGAGCTACCAGATACAGGTGCTGGGAATAGAACTCAGTTCTCTGGAAGACTATTAAGTCCTCTTAACCTCTGACCCTTTTTCTCTAGCCCCTTGAAACTAGCTCATGTTGTACAGTTACATAATCATGTAAGAGAATAAGAGAAAATGGCTTCATGCCTTCAAAACATCATTTTTTATCTAATTGTGTCAAATGTTTCCAGAATTAAGACAGAGATAAAAGCACCTTCATGTTTTTCTTAACATTGACAAGAATTTCCCCCATACTTACTTCACTACTATATAGTATTCTTGCCTTTTAGTTTGAGATAGATTTTCATCATGCTCAAATCCATATCTATTCTGCAAGTACATTTTCTAATGAGTTCTCTGTGGTGCTTACATAGGTTGTATCGTGTGCTCAGGAGTTCTCCTTAGGTGGAAATAAGCAATTGGGCCACAATACTATAATGGCCATATCTGGCACCCGCTTTCTCTGAAGGATAAAGGATGGGGCCCACACTCTGCCAACACAGCAAACAGCTCACACAGCAGCAGAGCTCAGGTGCAAAATGTAACTGCCTGGACATAATGACCTCATCCTGTCTGGAGCATCTGTGGAGGCGGCATTATAGGCATGGTGTCCAGGGTCCCCCCCAAGGGATGCAACACAGAGAAGTCATATAAATGGTACCTAATGTTATGATTTAATACTCTGTATTTGTTTCTCCATGAATACAGTTTACTTGTGTGGATGAGGAAAACGAGCTAGACTGTTAACATAGGTTAAAATTCTCTTGCAGAAGGAGAAAGAAGTTTGCTAACTGGGACCTACACAAGACTGATAGCTTGCTTTAGATGTGTCCTAGGTTATATTTGCTAATCATTACTCTTCAGGGCTTTAGCTTTGATATTTATATCTGAGAGAGATACACATGGGAGAAGATTTTTCTGCCATGTTTGCTTATCAATGTCTTTAAACCACTTTGTTATTGTTATATGTATTCACGCATGCCATTGCACACACATGGAGACCAAATGGCAACTCTGCAGAGTGGACTTCTCCATTCCACCAGATCAATGTTCAATGTTAGTGTAGTTTCCTATTCCTCATTGCTTTTAGTAAGGTGTCGGAAGAAAGTTCAGCTAAGAACTGCTTGGTTTATATGCAGAAATAGAAGCGAATGTGACTATCTAATGTTTGGGGGCTGTGATATTGAAGAGTTATTTTCCATACCAAATATTCATAGAGAGAAAGGAATGGTCAAACTCAGGGTATTGTCCTCCCAAAAAGCTTTTGTATTTCTGATGGTCTTAAGGTGACCTTTGCAAAAACCAGAGAGGAAGGTATGGATAGAAGAAGCAAAGAACTAAACCTTAGGGACTAGGCCTAGGACAGATGTTAGCTGTAGTTATCTACATAAAAAAAAATGGACCAGAGCAACTAGACTACACACTTACATGGTTTACAGAAGCCACAGAAACCACGAGTCTGGCCTGGAAATGTCTGTCTCTTTGAATTCCTAAAAGCAGCATGGGCTCAAGCCTTCAAACCCTCTCAGGTTGAAAACGCCGTGAGTGGCATGTAGCCCCCTAACAAGGACATCCACGACAACAGTTATCTCTGATGTGGCTAGGAGTGGTTATGGGCAAAGTGAATCTTCCATGGGGGAGTGAGCTGTCCAGACTGCCTGACCAAGGCTCTCCTTCCACTACCACAACAGCCACAAGGTCCCCACCGATGAGGGATGAAGGTGGCTGAGCAGCAGCCATGTGTCCTCTTCACAGGCCTTTTCATAGCAGTAAAGCCTATGCCTGTGGTACCACTCTGCAGCTGGGGTTTGGGGGCGGTGTCATGGTTTCCATGACACTGGTTATCAGAAGTCACCTCAGACCTTGATGGAGAAAAGAGAAGACATCTTGCTCTGCTCTTAAGCTGAACACCCACACTTACCCTTCTACTATTCCCTTCTCCCTGAGTCTAGGTTCAAAACCCACCTCTCCAGTGGTTCCCAAAGCCCTACAACTAAAACAGCACTGGACAGCCTTCCGTTACCCTCCTCACTTCACCCCTGCTCTGCTTCCTCAATGGGATAGAGACTAGGTCAGGGCAGGGCCTGATCTGCCTCCGGCTGGGATCTTAGCACCTAAAAATGACTGTAGTCTCTCGAACGATGATTTGTTGAAATCAAAGGAATAAGCGATCAGGCATTTGTAATCCCTCCAGGTTGGAAGTTAGATATTTGGTTCTAATTGGTACTTTCTATCACCATGCTGCAATGGCAGATACTGACCTGTATGTGAGAAAACTGTGATCACTCCTTTCAAGGTGTCACTGTGAGTTAAGAAACCTAACTTACCGTTTGTCCTGCTGGTTAAGTGCAGTTAATGCTAGAGGTAAGATATTTGATCTCATTCTTGCTGTGAAATAGTGGGACAGAAAATGCAGCTCAGTAGTAGAGTGCTTGCCTAGCATTTAGGAAATCTTGAACTTAATTTTTAGCACTGGAAAAACAAAAATGATTGAGATAATAAACTGTTGTAGGGATCCCATTGCTTTTAAAAATATTGCTGGTGTTCATTATATTATTATTATTATTATTATTATTATTATTATTATTATTATTGGTTTTTAGAGACAGGGTTTCTCTGTATTGCTTTGGAGCCTGTCCTGGAACTAGCTCTGTAGACCAGGCTGACCTCATACTCACAGAGATCCACCTGCCTCTGCTTCCCAAGTGCTAGGACTAAAGGCATTTGCCACCAATGTCCGGCTTATTAATTTTAACACAATGATCTGATACACCTTGGAAATCCTGTATAGTCTTCTTAAACCATAATCCAACAGACTCAAGGCAGAAGCTAAAGTTCATCCGGCAGTATATCTGTCAATCCAACCCAACCTACTGCCCCATGCCAGTCAGTGTGCTGAGCAGCCAGGACGTAGTGACAAGATAAATATTGTCTTTGGCTTCCTATTGGCTAGAGAGACTGAAAGTGGCAGGTGGGTAATTACACCATGATTCACCAAGATCTACTCTTGGAGACATATAGTATTACAGAAGTCCATGCCAGGAGACAAGCCAAAAACACGTCAGAAATACGTTTGGTTATCAGCAAAGCACAGACTCAAAAGTGGAACTGGAGATTGCTCAAGTGAAGAAGTAAGATGGGGTATTTTCCTGGCCAAATAAAAAGAGAGATCTATGTCAGAACATGTAAGCTCTCCATCTTATCTCTACCCTTCTGAATGTTGCCCATGGGCTAACTCAAATATCCACTATGTTGATAGAGGTTACTCAGGAGCCCAACACAGCCAATAAGCAATGAAGGCAACTAAGGAGTGGCCAGTGAGCCTGGAAGCAAGCCTACATTTACGAAAGTTTGATTTTTCTGCAGCTGAGCAGGAAAAAAAAAAAAAAAAAAACTACTCTGACTCTTACATTTTTTTGGACTTCCTTAGAAGCATCTCAAATGGATGACACCAAGCTGTTTTTCTTAAACAATGTCCCAAGCCTGAACTGGCATGGATGTTTTCTGAGATTAAAATAGAAACATGTTTTAATAACAGAAAACAACTAGGAAATCAAAAAGACGTTTAAGGTGGAACCATTATTTTTCCTTTTCTTGCAGAAAATTTCTATTTTTATACACACTGATAAGTCAGGATAGTGCCAGCCATTCTGCCACAGAACTTTTCTTTAACAACTTGAAGTAGCAATAACCTCAAAAAGATGAGTAGGGAGTGTGACATTTGTAATGTAGCAAATGCTCCTCAACATTTGTAAGCACCTACTATGTGGCGGGCAGTGTTGTCGGTACTAAACAAAGATAGCTATTCTTCTAGGGTTTACACGATAGCAGAAAGAAGACATATAGACATGTTATACAGTAGGACAGAAGAACAGTAGGATGAGGAGAAGGCAAAGTATTATGGGAAGCAACGCCAGAGGGTAGATAAGAGTTTTAAACAGTACATATTTGGTTTCTCGGGCGATGTTTGAACAGACTAAAGGGAGGCAATGAGCTGTACAGACAACGTCCTTAGTGGGTAGGCATGCCTGGAGGGGTGCCAGAAGACCAATTGACCCATGGACTGAGAAGAGAAGGACAGGACAGCCACTGCGGTATGGTTTGGGGAGAGGGATGATTTAAGTTTAAACGTGTGTTTTAGGGTGTATTTGCACATGAGCAGTCCTTTGGTTTAATACTTTTACTCTGCAACAATAGAGAAATTAACTACTTCAAACGGTTCTGCAGAGGTCCTCTCAAGACCAGCCACCACAAAGCTGCCTAGGTGGTAACAACCCTTGGGGCAAGGGGGGCGCACTTGCCCTGCCGTCCGCGTGCGCAGAGTGGAGCTGCGGGGGGGGGGGGGGGGAACAGGAACAGTCTCTTCTTCAAACCCGGCCCTGAGATTCAAACACCTTTTTCAGTTCCAAAGGCACATGGCTTTGCGTCTGCACGAGACGAATCTGTCCTCCTCCATCAGTCCAAGAGCCCCTCCGTGTTGGTGCGGAAGCCCGGGTTCTCCCTCTGCATCCCACCTGTCTGGGTGACGCCCGCAGAGCTCACACCGCTCCCCACCCACCCCACCCCCGCGCCACTCCCACTCCCGCAGCTTTCCTCGGGCTCACCCCCTTCCGGCAGGGTCACCCAGCTCGCCCTCTTCCCAGGCTGTGCTCACGCAACTTTTCTCGCAGCCCCCCGGGGCGAGCGCCACTCGTGGTAGACGGGGCTGGCGCGCGGCGTCCCCGCCCCCGAGCTGCCCCAGCGGCGGGGGCCCGGGCGCGCCCAGGGCACGAGGGCGGCGGGGCGGGCGGGCTGAGCGGCGCGTCCCTGCCGCCTCGCCCCTCCCCGCGGGCGGCGCGGCTCCCGCCGCAGCACCTCCCCTCGCCGCGAGGGAGCCGGAGGGCTCAGCCAGCCCCGCCGCAGACCTGCCCGGCTGCGCGCCGCGCCTGTGCGTCCCGGCAGCAGCAGCAGCAGCAGCAGCGGGTGTCGCGCCGAAAGCAACCGGGGGAGCCCGGGACGCACAGCTCCCCGCAACCCCGAGCGCCCCGCGCCCTGGCCCGCCGGCATGGCCGTGCTCCTGGCATTGGTGCTCGCGACCTCGCTCTACCTGCAGGCGGCCGCCAACTTCGATGGGAGGTGAGGCGGGGTCTCCGGCGCCCTCTCCTTTCCAGCAAGAACCCCCGACCGCGCGGCCTCGCTCGGGGCTGGGGAGCCGCCGCGGGCTCGTGCCCCGTGTGCGGTGAGCGCGAGTCGGCGCAGGGACACAGGTGACGAACGGGGCGTCCCAGCAGCCCGCGGCCAGTGCCCAGGGTGGACTGTGTCCCGAGGGGAAACTTGCAGGTGACCCGGCGGCGGCTCCACAAAGGGTGGCGACGAGGGCTCTACTCGGGAACCCGGGGCAGCCGCGAGCTCCCCGAGCATGAGGACTGAGAGGGGACGGGTGTGTGTGTGTGTGTGTGTGTGTGTGTGTGTGTGTGTGTGTGTGTGTGTAGGACTGAGAGGGGACGGTCTCTCTCTCTCTCTCTCTCTCTCTCTCTCTCTCTCTGTGTGTGTGTGTGTGTGTGTGTGTGTGTGTGTGTGTGTGTGTGTGTGTGTGTTGTCCACGCGGCACGGCTCAGACCTGGCGGGCCTGACGGATGGGATGCGTGCTCTGACAGGTCCCAACAGCTTGGAGCTGGGTCTCTGCTGTCACTCAGCGTGTCCTCCTGAGGCTGAGCGGCGTGCGCTCTCCTCCAAGATCTCCAGCTCTGCGCGAGGGTCGCTCCCCTCAGTCCCCACTGGCCCTCAGCTGGACAGGTTTCCCGTTGGCTTACACCGCCCACCCCTGCCCCCACCTTCAGAGCCTGTCCCTCGGCTGCCTTGAAGATGCCGCACCTGTTTTACCTGCAATCTTGGAACGAATCAATTCCAAGATTGATTGGCTTTCTTGTCCCTGGAGGGGACCGGAGGGGAAGCGGTGGAGTGCGGAAGGGAGAAGGCAGCAGCTCTCCTTGTTCACCACCTGGTCGGAGGAAATAGAAAGTTAGGGGGTTATTTTGTACTTTGGGCCTGAGGGTAAGAGAAGATGAATTGAAAAGATAAAGCAGTCAGAGGCTAAGGCTTTTCTTTTCAAAATCAATTCTTTGCCTACATTTGAAATTGTAGTGCATTACTTTGGGGCATACACATTTACAAGAAACACTGTTTAGATGTACAAGGAATCTGGTAGGTGTGAATCTAAACAGGGTGCGAAGAGCTATCTGATGCATACGATCTGCATCCTAAGATTTCAGTCTCTGCGCATGCTTTACATCAGAGAGGGAAATACTATGATCTGCTGATGCAGACAGCTTGCAAAACACAAGGACACTTGATACATTCCCCACAGTTTAAATTCCTTGGTTTTAGACCTCTCTCATAGCTTGGCAGTGACGGGAGGGGGCAATTGTATCCAAAAGAGCTTTGTTGCATTTGATTTTTGAGTAACCTCTTCTTGCCCATTTCCTCATCTGCCTTTATACTAAGCAGAAATTCTTTCTGCTTTGACAGGTCTTCTGTTACTCAACGCTTTTCGGTGTACGGTGCATCAGTGTATGGTGCATTAGCCAAAACTGCCTCCCCCAGCCCCAACAGCTGTGAGTCTGGGGCATCTGTTTTATTTCAAATCTTTCAGAAACCACCCTGGAATGGTGGCCCGAGCTTCAGTTTCAGGTGGCTCCTACTCCTGCGTGGTGTGTGTGTGTGTGTGTGTGTGTTTAACTTTACAATTAGAAAGTAGGTCACTGAAGAACTTCTACTGAGAAGGTGTCTTGTCCTCAAATCCCTACAGACAATAAGGAGTTTGTGGTGTGGCTTCAATATATCTAAATAAAACAAAGAGAAAACTATTTTAAATCTCAAGTGTCTTTATTTATTTTACCTTTTTGTTTGTTTGTTTGGTAGGTGGCCCAGGCAAATAGTTTCTTCGATTGGCCTGTGTCGGTATGGTGGCAGGGTTGACTGCTGCTGGGGATGGGCTCGACAGTCCTGGGGACAGTGTCAACGTGAGTACAGGTCTGGAGGCCCCAGTTCCTGGGGAGTGTACCTTTCCACCATGGTTCGAGACTTTACTCTGCACTCTGGAGGGTTTGCCATTGCTGAGCCATTCTTGGCTATGCAGATCTGACCCAAATCCTTATTTTGCCCCTTTCCAAAAGCACCAGGGTTGTGGTGCCAGCTTTACTGCTCACAGGGCCACCTGCCTTGCTGTCCTTTGTTGTTGTTGTTATTTTATGCCTATGGGTGTTTTGCTTGCATGCATGTCTTTGTACTTTGTGGGTGCTGGGGATTGAACCCAGGTCCTCTAGAAGAGCAGCCAGTGCTCTTAACCACTGAGCCATCTCTCCAGCCCAGTGCTAGCCATTTAGCTTTTGTTCTTAGCTTCTTCCATTATAGGGCTCTTATCAGGCTTATTTCTTCCTTTGCTCCCAGCTCTGAGATGAAGGTGAGATAATGTGTCTAGACGATATTTACACTAAATAAACTTGGAACTTAAGAGTGCCTGTAAAATCTTCACCAGGGCTATAGTGTAAGGTGGCACATTTGCCATTTTTCTTTTTTAGGAAGAGAAGTTATAGTGACATCTACATGGGCCAACCAATAGAGTCATGGGACACATCATTTGTAAATCCCATAACTGACCAGTCACATAGTAAGTGCCATATCAGAACACTGATTCCTATTTTACTCATGACCAAAATAGACCCTTGAATGATAAACATTCTGGTCCTAAATGAAAATTTGAGTAATTTAGCACGTCTCAGATTTTACTTAGACCCGTATCTCAAACATTTATCCTGGTCTTCCTGTTTACTCCTCCCCCCTCCACAAAGGGACACATCCCACCCCAAGTGACCAAGTAGTTTTCTGAGGCATCTTTTGAGCACAGTATCTGGTAAGATGATGGGAACTGAGCTGGGCTCCACCTTGGGACATCTTGTCGGGCATGGAGTGTCAGGGAAGGATGATGGAGAAGGTTAGAGGGCAGTAGCCTAGATATGGACTGGCGGTGTAAGGAGTCAGGAAGACAATGACTTCCATCAGCTACTGTCAAGAATACTCGGATGTTTAACTTTGTTGAGGAAGGAGAGTGATTGTCACAGTTGGTCAGTGCACATTCAGGCTGTTGTCTCTCGTTGGGGACAAGCAAGGGAAGAGGCTTCCTGTGACTCATAAGCAGTGGCCCTTGCTCCTTTGGGGCATCGCCTCTTGCTAAAGAGAGATGGAGTTGCTGGTTTTAGTACATGAAAGGACCAGACACCACAGTCCTGCTTTCACTGCTCAGTGAAGTTCTTTCAGAGGAAATTGGTCCAGAACAGCACTGGTCCCTGGTAGGATGTGGGATGGTAGGGTGCCAAATACATGACAGTGTTAGAAATCCTGGCAGCCAGAGGCTGTCGGGGACGAAGGTGGATGAGAGGGCTGGGTCGTCTCTCTTGGCCCACTAGTAAAACAAATCCATCCCAGATGAGAGCAGGGTCAGCCTCTTTGTAGGAAGGAGCTCACTTGCCTTCCTCTCTGCTGGAATTTTCCGGAAACTGGCAAATTGAACAGTGAAGGGCCCGGAGGTCCGTGCAGTCAGTCGCCCAGCCCCCACCCGGGTTAAGGAGCCCTGCCCTGGCAGGATGCCCTGTGCAGCAGAGGGGCACACCTTCACACCTGCCCTAGAGGCAGGGATTAGGAGAATGTAGGTTCGATGCCAGGTGTGTTGAAAGAATTCTAGGGTGAAGACTCCTGAGTTCTCTCAAGACATCCTGCTGTGGAATTCCCAAGCAACACTAGAAGCTGTTCTACTTTTCTGTAGCAAGTAATTAAAATTTCTTAAGTATGCACTAGCTTGGCAAATCTAAATCTGAACAAGTACGGAGGCCTTTTAAAGTCACAGTGGTGTTATGAAATGTAACCACCCAAGAGCATCCCAAAACCTTTTCTTTCTCCTGTGCATTTCCTAACAGAGGGGAGAGACACTGCCATTTTCAAACCTTCCTTTTGTTTCTACAAGAATGTGAAGTGGGGACATTCAGCATTTCTCTCCCCCCCCCCCCCGGCTATTCCTGAGAATGTGAGGAAAGTGAAATGTAGAAAGCGGAGGTTAAAACGGTCACATCACAGGTGTGTAAGACTGTCTTTCGCACACCATGGTTCATCTGAGATGCGGTTAAGTTCAGGAGCCAGCACAACCAAGGGCAACATGGACTTTGGTTCTAGACAGCCTGGTTTCAAATTCCAGTTTGACCTTCTTGGCTGTGTGACCTTGGTTAATAATTCATCATTCCTGTGCTTCCTCCATTTTCTTCATCTCTGTAATCAGTCTGAAATACTACACACCTTATCAACACACAACCCTGAAAGGAGCTAGCATCTGTAAAGCACTGAAATTCTTCCTGCAAACTCTGCACTTGTACCTGGTCATGTTCAGCGTCCGGGATGGCTGCAGCCCTGGACAGGGCAGGGGGAGTAAATACATGCTACCAAATCTGGGAACGTATGCACTGAGTTTCACTACTGGCCAGATTAAAAATGGTCCCAAGGCTCCCTGTTTCGATGAAATGAAGTTCCTTTACCCTGGAAGGGGCCTTAGATGCTGAAGATGGCAAGACTGTGAAGACGAACTAAGAGGGAGAAGTATTCTGTCTGTTTGCCTTTTGCAGAATCGTAGATGGTCCAAATGCCTGCTGTCGGCTCAGGGTCTGCCTGCCTTTGTTTTGATCTAAGGTAGAGGAATGGAGGGCAAGAGGTCAGCTCAAAGGAGCAGAACAGCACCAAAAGGTGGGATGAAGGAAGTACCCAAACACTCCTGACTGTTGTGAATGCCTTTACGGAACTGGACGTTTTGCATTCGATTCAAGGAAAACGCCTTGATTTGAATCTGGTAGTCCATTGCCTATGTGATTTTTAACCTGGTTCTAAAAAACACAATGTGAATGATATTTTTGGCTCTCTGGCCGTTAATAATCTGAGTTTTTTTGTTTTTTGTTTTTGTTTTTTGTTTTTCCATGTCACTTCCATATCAAAGGTGCCACGATTCTTCTCTGATTGACTCACTCTGGGATTTTCCTTCAAAACAGCACAGCAAGGCAAATGCTAGCTGTGACCACCTGTTACACAGGGCCCTTCTGTTTATCTCTAAGAATATGTGTTCTTGGGGAAAGCCGTGCCCATGTTATATTGTCTATTAGACTTTATGGCCTTTGTGCAGCGACCCTTCAGTGAGTGTCTCCTCCATTGGGTTGAACATTCGTGACATATTTTGACCCAACAGTCACCTGAGTCAGATATCTACACAAAACCTTCTCCATCTCATCCCTACTTGCTCTCCTTTTCCTGGACTCATTTAGAGACTGCAGAGTCATGGAATTGTCTGATCTCCCCTTTGATTTGCCACCATTAGTTACAAAGCCACATTTAACTCAGGGACTTTCATCTTTTTTCTCCAGGGCGACTGAAGGACAGAGTAGAGAAACAGCCCGTTGGGCATGGGGTCTGTCCTCATATTTCCTGCCTGTGTACCCAGAGGCCAATCCCAGCATTCCTACTATGTTGGGACGGCATGGCAGTTTCCAGAAATAGGCAGGCTGTGTTTTCATAGTTCTTTTTTGGGTCAGACACTTGGTGTCTTTTTATTCTGTGACTCTTTGTTTTATGTTCTTGGCTCATAAATAGATGTCTTGCACATTGAAAATTCCACATTTGATTTTCTAATTGTCTTGGGCTTTGAATTTATTGAATATTAATGGGGTCCTTTATTTTCAGACGGAATTCTCTTATGTTCACTTATTGGTGGCTACATATTTGGAGCACATAGTACCTTAGTCTCTCAAATATTGTCACACTATATTTGTTTCTTGCTTGTAACTTTCTGTTTTTTGAGCTTGTCCCTCATCTCCGTAGCATATTTCATATTAATTATATACATTTTCTCTCTCCCCCTGCAAGCTGAGATTTCTTGGGTTTCTGTGTTTCATTTCACAAACAAAACAAACAAAAAAGAAAGACTCTGGGCTTGGGACGGAGAGCCCCCTGCTTTTGCATCTGCTTAGCCACCTGGCTTCCTGCAAAGTCAGTCTGAGAACTTAGTGTCTGCCACTAAGCTCTGTGATTTCTCCCCTTCATCACAGAGATCACACTGGACATATTGCTTCAGACAACAGTATTTTTGTTGAAAGCACTTTCTGGAGATAAAAAAGGGCATTTCAAAGTACAGCTCAATCTAGGCTTCAGCTTAGAGTTCTTTGGCCATCAGGGAACTGAAGGAAATGATATGAATTGAGATGGTATCCTTTATCCTTAAGAGCAGGGCAAATGCAGATATGTGTTAAGTTTCCACGGGAGAGTTGGGCAAGTGAATACATACACCCACAGACGGACTGCTCTGTTAGCTCTGAGCTCATTCCTCCTGTCGTGTCTCTTAAGTTAGCTAAGGCTGGACAGAGCCCGCCTGAAGATTTCAGCCTTAACTCTAAACTTAAGGTTAATAAAGAAGGGACTGTGAAATAGCAATTCCTTCTGCAACCGTTTTGTGGTTATCTGATTATTGGAGCTAGACAGAGTATGCTGGTGGCTGTGGATATTGGGAGCACAGTACTGAATTGTTTCTGCATTTCAAGTGGAGGCTGTCTGACCAAGGCACAGAGCGTCATTACAGTAAATGAGATACTTACATTTTACGGTTGCTTTCTTGTGTCTTTGCTCAGAAATGGAGTCTTGTGAAAAGATGATTTGTTAATTTTTTGGTCCTTGCACGGGTCATTGATTTGTTACCCACATCCACGCTACTTTCTAAGCTCTGTTTTTTGGTAATTTAGGTTTTGAATGCCCTCTTTAAAATAATTGCGAGTAAATGAGAAATTCTTTTGGTGTGAATCTGCAAACTTACAGTAAGTTCTGAATGGGGGAAAAGAAAGAGTGGAAAAGGCAAAGCTGCCTCTGCGCTGTAATAAAGGTTAGGTCAGCAGACTCTGCTTTCCTCCCCTCCCCCTCTTCGCAGTTAGCGTCCAAACTCTGC